TATGCCTGTAACCCTCTTCGTATAACTGACCTATCAATATTTCACTTCCTGTCAACGATACATGCGAGAAACGTGGGCGTAGAATAGATTAAATTGATTAGGATCCGTCCGGAAATAGCTGACTAAGGTATATGATGTGTTGGGGCGTAAACTGTCGGATTTGGAATTTCAGGAGCAGACGTGTGGGAAGTTTGTGATGCGAAGAGACTTCACTAACAAAGTATAATTATATCTTCTACTGGCTGATTAGAATGATCCAGGATAATTGAAACGTTAATTGACTCTGATATAGGTACACACGACGACCTATTTTTTATAAAATACAGATACAGTGCAGACTCGATAATCCGAACGTTCAATAATCCGAATTCTTCAGTAGTCCGAACAAGCATAACTATATCTTTAGGCCTATTTATTTCCTATAAAAATTGTGGTTCGGAGGCATTTAAGAAATCATGATTTGCCTGAAAAGGCGCTATTAATCATAGATAATGCCTCAAGTCATGGAACTATAGAAGAGCTAACTAGTGAAGATGGAAGATTTACAGCATTATTCCTCCCACCAAATTGTACAGCACTCTTGCAGCCTATGGATCAAAATGCTATCCGACTAACCAAATTATTTTACCGAAAAAGCCTTTTAGCGCACATTTTGTCAAGTAACGAAGACAGCGTTGTTACGTTGTTAAAAAGGCTTAACCTAAAGGATGCAGTCTGTCTGCTATGCAACGCTTGGGAAAAGGTCTCTTCACAAGTCTTGCAGAAGTGCTGGAACAGAATTATGTCAGACAACAATGAAGACATTGAATATGATGCCGAGGATCTAATTCCTTTAAGTGAATTACGCCGCAATATGCTTTCTTTAGATGGAGATATGGAAGGTGAATTTTTTTTAAATGTTTTTTGCAAATTTTTCTTATCTAACTCTAATTTTTAGAGGTTTGTGAAATGCTTAATGTTTTGGCAGAGCCAAATCTTACAAACGTGGAAATATGTAATTGGGTGGAAAATGATGAAGATTTGTTACCGTTAGAAGAAGCAGATGAAGATGAACCTGAAGTTAGCGACTATGAAGAATTAGATAATCCAAACTTAACTGTTAGGAACTCTGAAGCAGCTGAAAGTTTTAATCTGTGTTTGAAATGGGCCGAAGAGAATAATATTCCGTTAAATGATATTCTTGTACTTCAAAGATTAAAAGAAATGGTCTTTATAAATAATCAAAGATGTGCTAAGGAAACAAAAATTACAAATTACTTTAGAAACTAGTATTATATTCTTACTTTTATGCATATTTTAGTGTTACTTTTTCGTATTTATGTTTTCTTTGCATTTCCTAATAAAAAATAATAAAAAAAACTGCTTCGGTAATACGAATTTTTTGGTAATCCGAATCGCCTTGGTTTTTATTAGTTCGGATTATCGAGTCTGCACTGTACTCCAAAAGAACCTACAGATTCAAGAATAACATTTGTCGCTGGTAGACTTGCTGTGTTATCAAACAATTCTCCTAATGAATCTAAACTGGGCGAGAGTCTCTGAAGCTAACCATTTAGTGATCCTTCCATGATCCTGCTTATGTACAGGTTGGTTCAACGAAAACTTTACATCTCGATTGTATAGGGCTTCAAAATGAAAATCTGGAATCCTTCACCCTCGTGACTTCAACCCCCACCAGGAAAAAGCATAACCCCCGTATTCTCATCAATAACGAAATGAAAGATGAAATAGTGGAAGAGGCAATGTCGAGTTCACCTGGAAAATATTTTTTTCATCATAGTAGGATTCGAAAAATATCTAACGTTGTTGAATATTCATGATGAACTGAAGTGAATCGGACAGATCAAAGGACAGGTATCGCGCCCACGAACTTTTTTGTGGCAAGAAATTACAAATAGATAAATACTTTTCTAATCCTTCTTTAATAAGAATAATATTTTCGATGTGAATTCGACATTGTCTCTTCCACAATTCCATCTCTCATTTCGTTATTGTTGGAAATTTTTACGCGATATTAGAGGGTCAAATAGTACTCGACGAAGATCCGACGGCTGTGCTTTCCCCTGGTAGGGGGCTAAAGTTACGGGGATGAAAAAAGCAGACAAGTCGTTCACCATCGTATCAGAAATCGACGGGTCCGAGCGTTTGTCCAGATTTTCATTTTGAAGTCCTAATAAAATTGGGTTGTAAAGTATTCGTTGGACCACCCTGTATACATGTTGTAAGCTGAATCCACTAGAGAGTTCTGAGAAGAAGAGCAAAGCTGGATTTAAGGGTCGAATTTTGTTTTGTTCTATTGAATTCTCATATTGAAGACAAAAGTGTTTTGACTTGATGTTCGAGAATAAAAGGCTAAAGAGACGCCATCATCAAGTTCTGATGAGGAAGAATGATAAAATTCTTCGACCAGTCGATCACATCCATCTACCCTTGCTATCCAGTAATTCTAGAGATTACTTCTACCTTATTCTTGTTCCAGAAGTAAGGTGGCTTGAATCGCACCTGGTTGCTGAAGAATTACAGTCAATTTTCAGAAGATAGATCTGAAGTCATAACAAGAAACGAAAACTTTGGTAGACGCTCCGAATACCAAATAGGTGAAGTTATCAAATTGACCATAAGCTGAATCGAGAAGCATCTCTCGAAGTTATATAAAGGAAAGCCAAGCTGTGAATATTGATCTTCTTGCTATACCTAAGTAGAATCAAGAGGAAAAACTGCCGAATCTACACGCCCGGTTTCAATACCATTTCGAAGCAAATGTCGAACTTGGATCTCCATTTTGCTGTAGTAGTAGGTGGGGAGATTTTTTCTGGACCCAGGTAACCTGTCTTTGTGACTGTTGAAGAAGATACAAGTCCGCATAGCTTAGCTTTCGTTTCACGATCCCTTGCGAACGATGAACCGGACTCCCATGCCCGGATTTCTCCCAGCATATATATCATGGAGGTCTGGCACAAACCGGAATCGGAATTGTGTACTGCGTCCGACAGCTTGTTAGTGGCCAGTTCATCAAAGCTCGTACCAACGCTGACAAATTCGGGATGAATTGTTTATAAAGTTGACTGACTGTTCCCAGTTCGACGGCTCTATTTCCCTTCTGTATAGAGATTGTATGAGCTGGAGAATAATCCAGGCGCTCGTTATTATCAATCTTCCCAGGGAGATTCGACAGACAGATGTAAATAAGTTGGATATACACTTTTCGTTCCAGCAAGGTTCACTTTTCTTGGGTGGACTAAGATTAGAAAGCGATCACGAGTTTTGGATACTCCAATGGTCAACATTTCAAAACATATCAGCCTGTCATATTCCAAATGCCTAGAACTCTGGCATGATGTAACTGATATCCTTGTTTGGTGAGAGAGATATACATATTTTAGTCGAAAACATGGTCCTTATGGTCCAGATTCGAAGGATCAGAGTAATCTCTATGCTTATATTGTGTGATCAACTGATGCTTCTAAGAGTTTTTTTATAGAATGTATCATATAATTGGTAAGCCAAAACAGATGCCAAAACAAAGTATATTCACACAGACATTTGGAGAAACAGGGCATGCTAGTTCAGTATCACCAGGCTGATGAACTCTGATAGGTACCTATCATACTAAACAACACAACAGAATACGAGACATAATACAGATAATCATTGTAATATTCAGTATATAATGACGTTGTGTGTTTCTAAATAATCGAATAACTAAACACAATACTCTTCGCTGAAGTTGAGGTCCTCGTCAAACCATTCATCATGTATCATTATTGTTCGTGAAGATCCCAATCGCTCTAATATCTTCATCGACAATTACCGGTTTTTCTTTTTGGGAATGTGGAGCAAGAAAATTACTATATATTGATGGAAATGGCTGGGTATTATCATATTTTCTACTTACCTGCAGTGGAATTGTATCCGGGAAACAGATTGATAATGTGTACGAAATGTCAATAACGATGGAGTTGGCCATATAGGTCAGGCAAACATGTTGTCCCTATTTTCATCGATCATGAGTGTATTTATAGGGCAGTAACCAGATGAATTATTGGGTGAATCGGTGAATCGGAACCTCATATGGATCTCCCAAGAATTTCATTGTATTTTATATAAAAAAAACAGCGTAGGGTAATGATTTGAAATGAAAAGTAGGTGATTGAATCCAATAACCTGAAATAATCTTGATCAAATTGAAGACACTCTATTCCACCCATCTTAAAATTTTCATATAATCTGCTCGATAATCTGACCAATTACAAAACAAGAAGTACCTTGATTTTATGTATGCCAATTTTGAAGAGGCTCAAAATTTCTGATGAATGAATGTCAAAAATTTTGAGGAAGCACTTGTATCATATACCATTTGAAAAATAATGCAATTTTTACTGATGAGTAGATATTCGAAGTTTTCACTTCAAAAATAAAAGTATAACAGCAAAATCGAAGTGAGTTGTAAGAACGAAAATTATATTAGAAAATTAGCTATCGTGAAACAACTCATCTCACAATTTGTTAATTTCTACAGCCTCATTACTCTATATAAAATGAATTGAATAATGACTGACGGTGGACGAATAACGAACGTTAATGCGTTTCGTGATAGCAGTTGAAATCTACCTTCTAATTATGACCAGGCAGATGACATCTTCATGGGGGCTCACTTAGTGATTCGACACACTTATGTGTCATTGATTTTTAAAACAGGCATACAGAGGATAACAGTCAACCGAGTATCTTTCTCTTTCCTAATAAAATATCATTGTTTTTCCCAAATAATTCGAAATATCTTCGTCCAGAGTCATGATGTTACTGGGTAGATTGTTAATCGCAATTCCAGACTGTACAACGGCAATCATTGAACCTTCACAAATGACATACTTTCATCAATGGAAATCAGATATCCACATGTATCTGGCTGTAAACAACATTTCTACAACTTATCGTCGCACACATCCAACCACAAGTCACGCAACACAAATTCAGCATCGTGTCACCATCCAACTCACCTTCGTCGTGATTACTCCCCAACAAGATCTCCATATCCTCGTAATCACCCTCCGCTAACAAATCCATGGGGTGTTTCGGCAGAAGCACCCCGTCTATGGTAGGCGTCGATGGAAACCCCAAAATACCCGAGTACGAGTTCCATTGCTGCAGCGAAATAGTTTTCGCGTCCACCGCTCGCATACAGTCCATCACCTGGTGAGGATGGTCCTCGAGGAGCGAAACGTTGCACCCGCAGTCCTGCACCAGGATTCTCCCGATCTGTTCTGCCCTCTCCCCAGTCATGTAGCTCCAAGGTGCGTTCATAGTACCAGATTGCAAGATCCCCCTTCTAGCCAATCCCTTGGTCACGGGACTGATGAGATGCAAGCTGACCGAACCACCGCCAGCCGATTCCCCGAACAAAGTGATCAGGTCCGGGTCCCCTCCGAATGCTGCCGCATTCTCCTTGATCCAGCGTATCGCCAGGATCTGGTCCCACAGCCCCATGTTACCAGGTGTCTCCTCGCTGCCCCTCTGGAAGTACCTGTTGAGGTAGAGGAACCCGAAGGAGCCGACTCGGTACTGCATAGAAGCCACGATGACATCGCTCGTCGCCGCTATAATGTCGGCGTCGTAGATGTCCAGAGTGGCGGTACCGCTCATGTAGCCTCCGCCGTAGATCCAGACAAGGACGGGGACCTTGGGGCGCTCCGAAGGGGGTTTATCAGCGTGGTGTCGAATGCGCAGACGCTGCGGCACCCACACGTTGAGGTACAGGCAGTCCTCGGAGACGTTGGTGTTCGGGTTCCACATCTCCTCGCCCTCAAACCCCGGGAAGTACTCGTACCTCTCCTGGTAGCAGGAGTTTGGTAGTTTAGTAGCGTCTAAGATGCCGTGCCACGGGTCGATTGGCACTGGTCGCTTGAAGCGCAGCTGCTCGATGGGCGGTTTAGCGAACGGGATGCCGGTGAAGACGTGCACCTCGCGTCCCAAGACGGTCTTGGACTGGCCGCGCACCAGACCGCCGGTGGTCTCAACCACGAGCGGGTCCGTGTGGAAGTCCCGGCGAGCGGGCGGACGCGTGGTGGTTTGCTCGCCGGGCCACGAGTAGCCGCGGGCGGTGGCCAGCAGGCAGAGCAGGAGAGAGGTCGCGGTCGCGTGGCCCATGGCGGGGCGAGAGAGACGGGGGGCGCACTTGTTGATCACGCGGGCATAACAAGCGGTGGAGGACGCGCGGATGCCGTCGTGTTCCGCCACCGACTGTGGCGGGCATGGAAGGTTCGGGCATGGGCTGGAGCTTGCGCGGTCCGAGTCGGATGAGCTGGGGTCTAGGGCGAGCGGTCGTCTGAGGAGTCGGATATCGGCGAACGTGAAAATGTTCTTGACTAACAACTGCATTTTTCCAGTCATGACTAGCACAGTACCTAGAGCTTCTGAATATAATTATGAAGGGTTTATGAATGGTGGAAATATAATATGGTGTACTAGTCTATACTCATACCAAAATGATCACGGCGACTCAGACGAATTGATAACTGCGAGCTCAGACAGGGACGTTGTTACAAGTTCAAAATGAGTTTCTCAATTGATATACCTTGACAAATGAATTTGAATAGTTTTGCTAAAATAATAACTTTAATGAAAGGTTTTTGTAATAAACAGTTTTCCAAAAAAATCACTACACCTCGGTTACATAGACTGGTTTTCGTATATGTTATAGTTCTTTCAGGTGATCATAATTTTCACTACACATTCTTTTCACTACACATTCGTTGCATCACTGTAGAGGCTGAAATCAGCAAGACTATCCATTTGTTGAGCACTTCTATAGAGATGTCCAGGTTTATCTAGTCTAGGAAGTTCTGTTGGTATCTTCTTGATTGTATTACTTGATTTTATTATTCATTCTTCATATGCACAAGCCCTGAAAAAAAAAGGGAAATAATTACTTCATCACCAGAACAAAAACAGTTTACTTAGAAATCGTGAAGTGAATAATAATTAAAGTACACTCACCTGATTTTAGTTTCTCCAACCATAGGTGTTTAGTTATTATTTCATTGTGTTCAAACAATCAATTATTGAATTGTTATTATTGATCGGGAAACTTTGTTTAATTAATTGTGTATGTCAGTTGTCGTTATATGTCAATCTTGTCAGCGTAGACATTCGTGACGTGGCAAAGACATTACTAGCTCCCTCCATGGGCGTAGTGGTGTGTGGGTCGAGATCTGACATTTGTTGGCTTTGCTATCGTGATCAATCCTGCGTTTTTTGTGGAAATTATGATTTGACAATAATTTCACTTATATTTCCGTAAATATAAAAATTCAGTTTCTCGCATTTTCAGGCCAATTGGCGTGGTTGGAATTAATTACAAAAAGGGTCATAGCGCATCCCAACTAACCCACCCATGTTCACGGGCTATCGATTTCATTCGTATTGCTTCGGTGCGATTTGAGGGATCGGTCGATATCATCGATCTGGTCAATTTGGTTTCCTCGCTCTCTTTTCCTTTTCTGCCGTGAAGGTAAGAATTTCGGCGATTCGCAAAAAGTACATGATATGCCATCTTGGTTGAGATTTTCTTTGGGATAGTGGTTTTATTTGAGAGAAGAAAATATACAGCATTGTGAGCTGGATTTGTACCAAGTGTTGGCAAAGGGATGAGATAATTGGAGAATATCTATCCTGTGAAAAACAGCGTTTGCTGGATTTATTTTTTGTTATGTGCAAAAGCTTCCATCACGTGGAGGTGAGTAACGCCGGTGTTCCAGAGCGGTACTCTGAAGCTACACAGTTGTATAATATAGCGTTGCGTGATTATTATCTTTTTTCTAGGCTTTTAATTTTCACCTTGAATCCTTGAGCAAAGATTCAACGAATCTTGGTTTGAATGTGATATTGATTTCTGGCTGATCAGAAGTTGTTTCCGGAGTGAGAAGGTCGTTGATGTGGATTTCCCCTTACCCCCTTCATAGCCACAGTCCATCCCGGTACTCAGTAGGGACTATACTGTATTTCTTTTGGAGGGCCTAACAGTTACCACCTGGCTACCAAACACAGAATTTGTTCCTAAGACTCAGATAAGTACATACCTGCTTTCATTTACCCTGGGTAGAGTACCATCACCATCTTGCTTGGGTGGCTCGAGACGTGTGCCAGTTAATGACGTTAGATTTATTTATTAGTTCATTGCGATTTAATCTAGCTAGTGATAGTTGGGGTTTTGGGGTGGATTAATCCATACTACCTGTATATAGTTAAATAATTGATTACCACAAGTAGAGGTTGCATTCACAAGTATGATGTATTTGTGAATACCTCCAAGAGTGTTGTGAAGGGATCATCTCTTCTTTTGGATTAATGATAAAAATCAGTTCCTCGTGGAACTTATTAGTATTATTATTGAGTTTTTGTTGATTGTCATAGTGATAAGTACAGTGACAGGATTTAATAAAGACAATAATCAGGATTGAATTGAGTGTGCCTAATTCTTGTAAGCCCAGACAACTAATACTTTTCTTCCCCAGGTTAACCAGGTTTCTTTGTACTTCTGTATTTGTTAGTCGGCAAGGTCATCAACTCCTGTGAGCACTGATCGAGCTACTGGCGAAAGATGGGCCTGAGATGGAACCCCTAACATGTGACCCTGAGATGAGTTGAAATAATAATAATAATCTGGAAATAATATATTAGATAGGTAACTACAGTTACCTAAGCACGTAAGTAGCTCGGCGGTAAACTGATGTCACAAATGGCGCCCAACTGAATCATAATATACATAAGTTGAATAGATATATATTTGATTTTTCGATTTTTTTTTAAAGATAAAAAAAAAAAATTTATTCATGCCATTTTCCCTTTGAAATTTTGTAATTAAAAATCCTGTCGATAATATACATTCAATATGTTATCATTACAGCCAGATAGGCTGCTCAAAGAAGAAGTTATTTTTGAATTGACTTGTAGGGGTGCCCACATCGAAAAAGATGCCACCCTTAAAGACCTTATAAAAATTTTAAGAGAGTTGTTAGCCTTGGAAAAAGAGGGCAAAGTTTTTAATGTTGAGTATAAATTTAAGCCTTGTGATGAAATTCCACTGATTCATGACAAATTGATTGAAATTGCCAGTTTATTTCAAACTAGTATATCTGCAAGTGGCCTCAGAAAAATAGAAGGAAAATTATGTCATGCTTTGAATAGAATTGAAAAAATGGAGACAGATGATGAAAAAGAATTAGAGGAAAAATCTAAACTTCTGACTGAAGCAATGTGTTTGTTGTCAGATTTCAAAAATATAACCGATATGAATAAAAAAATATTGGATGAAAATCCAATTGATTATACTTTTCAAACACAAGTAGGAAACACTTCAACACCTGCTGCAAAAATAAATATCAGTAATCCTAATAATAATGCAAGCACAAGTGAAGACCTTTCAGTCAGAATTTTAGAAAAATTGTGGTTGAATGAATCTTCCAAGATTTCTAATTGGGGTTTAGTGTTTAGTGGTGAATCTGATGTCTTGGGGTTGAATGCTTTTCTTGAAAGGGTGAATGAACTCAGTGAAATGAGAGGTATTGAGAAAGACCAACTTTTTAAAAACTGTTTGGAATTATTTGAAGGAAAAGCTTTAATTTGGTTTAGAAGTGTGAGAAATCGAATTCATGATTGGGATACTTTATGCTACTATCTTAGAGAAGAATTTTTGCCGAAGGATTATAATGAAAAGTTGTGGGCACAGATCAAAAATAGAACTCAAGGCGAAAAGGAAACTATAGGTATTTATTTGGCGGTGATGAATAACTTATTCAGCAGGTTGTCTACTAGGGTAAATGAGGAAGTAAAACTCAAAATAATAAGGAAAAATATCCTTCCTTTTTATCAGAATCAACTAGTACTGATAGATATTACTTCTCAAGACCAGCTTCTGTCATTGTGTCGAAAATTAGAGGTAACTAGAGAATCTATCGCAAATTTTGTAGCACCATCAGTAGACAAATCGTCAGTTGAATTAGACTTATCATATCAAAGAAATAAGAAAAAAATTGACAACATAGAATTAGAGAAATGCCAGGTTAGCTTTCAGGACAATGGTGAGGGAAACTCAGTAAGAAAATACAAATCAAGAGAACAGTCGATGGAAAGTAATAAAGACACACATTTCAATAGAGATAGGGCTGATAACCAAAATTCAATCAACCGGACTGAAAAAGGAGTCAGAACTGTACCTGATAGAGATTACAGTAGGGATAGGGATAGAAATAGTTTTCGTAACAGTAGGTCAACCGATAGAGAAAATAAAAATCAAGGATATGAAAGATATAATAGAGACTATAGCAGACAAAAGTATGATGAAAATTATAATCAAGGTAGGTGGTACAATAGGAATAACAGTCAAGCTAGAGGTAGTAGAGACTTAAGTCAAAATAGATATAGCAGACATCAGAGTCAAGAAAGATTTAACAGAAACCAAAGCCGAGATAGATATGATAGAGATCAAAGTAGAGATAGATTCAATTCAAATAATAATAGCTACATAGGAAATCAGAGTCAAGATAGATATAACAGAAGTCAGAGTCGAGATCGGTATGCTAGAAACCAAAGTCAAGATAGATGTAGTAGAAATCAAAGTCAAGATAGGTATAATAGAAACCAGAGCATGGATACCACTAGATATCAGTTTTCAAGGGGAAATAAACCTCACGAGAGTAGGTTTGATAATTATTCAAGAGGAAGAGAAGTCAACTCGATTTATCCGCAAGCTGATAGAAATTTTTCAGGTCATACTAATAGGAATGACAACAGAAATAATTCACCAAATACAAGTGGAAATACAGAAATTACTTGTTACAGATGCCAGGAAAAAAATCATATTGCAAAACATTGTACAATAAAAAAGTGTTTTGGATGTGGTAGGTTAGGATTCACTGTAGCAACCTGTAATTGTAGTTCGGGAAATGCAAGGAGAAACCGTTTCTAGGCCGTGGACGTGTTTCTATATCAAATTCGGTCTATGATAGGTATTTATTGTCAAAATGCTCACCGCAGGAACTTGAGTTATATTCCTCACATAATAAACCGATTTTAGACTATATGCTATCACAAGCAGGTGATAATGAGTGCCCTCATATAAACGTATCAGTATATGGCTGTGAAATAGAAGGATTATTAGATTCGGGTGCTAATAAAATTTTTGTAAATAAAATAGGTTACGAATTATTGAATAGTTTAGGGGTAAAATTGAATACTGCTAAAGAT